CATGCAAAGATTTTGTTCTAATAAAGAAACAAATACCTGTAAGCATCATTTTCTGGGAGGTCAAAGAACAATGAGAATCCACTACTGTACAACTTCTAAGCATCAATTCTAAATTAAAATAATTTCTGCCTCTGTAAACATTTTAAAGGACTACTATACTTTTTGACAAGCCGACAAACAACAACAGAATTATTAGCCATGTTTTATATTAAAGAGAATATCCTCGCTGATATTTTCCACAATCCCAGCAGCCAACCACATACAGCTGGGGAGATGGAATGCCTTCAAGAAATTAAACTCTGGAGTCATAAATCTCACAATGAGTTTTAGAACAGTTCCTAAAAGATATAGCTTAAGGATTCTTACTTTCATAGGCGGTTCCTAATCTTTAATCTTTTGTGAATGGAATGAAAGATATCAACCCTCTCCCAGAAAAATGCATTCAGATACTATTTTGCATACATTTTTCTGGAGATTCACCTAATAAGGAGTCATTAATGAAGTACATATATTTGAAGTGACATATTTGAAAAGGGAAACATCCCTATAAATGATTTCAAGGTATTGGCGTCTTAATTTCCATAATGAATCCATAACTTATAAAACACTTTCATACTCTACACTCAACAGGTTTCAACTCATTAGAGTCTGATAGTTAACTGTGAGAACAGCCTAGACAGTTATTCCTGTTTTACAATTGAGGAAATTGAGACACAGATTTAATGGCTTGCCAGAGTATTCAGCCAGTAATTAGAGGTGGTATTAAAAAGTAATCATTTGATTCCTTTTCAGAATTTCATTGCTGCTACAAAGAAAAATACTACAATGTTTGTTCCTACTTGACAAAATCAGGCATCAGCTGATTCTAGGATTTCTATATTACTTAATTATACTTAATTACTTATTATAAACACTAATAAAATGCCTCTTTTCTTGAAATTGTTGTAAGGGAAGATAATTTTTCCAAACTTGTTTTACCATATTTAGTGAGCATTCTCCTATGTGGTTTTATACATCTAAACTTTCTTCACAGTATTTAAACATAATCTTTTCTTCATGAATCAGGGTCAGCCATACATACATTTATTATAGCATTATACTATAATACAGTATTAAGTTATGATACTAGGACGCCCTTGAACACTATTAGAGTAAAGAAGATAGTTTCCCCTGCATTCCATGACCACACATGCTTATGTTCCTTGCTTTGGTTTGAACAATTATTACAGCTCCTCCTTTAGGACTGGTTGTGTTTTTTCCGCTGTCACGACTTCAGCCTCAACACGTACACATCCCCTTCCACTAATGTGCTCTTCTAACTTGCCATGTAGACTGGGAAACCAGAAAATTATGTTTATTAGACATTAGAGTCTCCCTCCATTTAGTATAGCACAAAAGCGTTAATTCACATTTTCTTGCCTGTTCAATGGTCTTTTTCTTTCTAATGTTCAATAATATGTGGGTACAAAATAATAGATCTTCAATTTGTATGTAGAGCACAAAGCCTCATAAATTGTTTGAGAAGACATGACTTTTCTTTGAATACAGTAATTACTGCCTTAAAAGATTATCTTTGGTTCCAAACATAAATAATATAATAGAACCCTATTTCATGCTTACAGAATAGTGACCCAAACACTATATTTAAAATAATTTTCTCAGAGAATAAGAGTTTAAAAAATTCAGGAAAAAAATACAAAGAATAATAAGTAAACACAAACCTCTTCATTCTGGCTATTCTTTATAATCTGATAGCTGATATAGAAAATATGCTATAATAATAGTATTGAATCATGCAAAAAATAAGTTTAAGTGGCCCTCCAAAGAATAATACTTTTATTAAAATACAAGCTAGAAAAACAGGACATTTTTCTATTATATATAACTTCTGTGCACTTTTTTATTCTTAAAATATTAGTCGTAAATTATTAAAGATATACCTTATAATTATAAAGGAAAAACAAAGTACAAAACAAGTGGTCGATAGAAAATGTTTTAGTAGAGCTGAAAATTTTTTTCCTGTCTAATTGCAACCATTATTGATGAAATCCAATTTTAACCAAAGTACTTGATTAATGGAGAGAGGTTCTATGAAAACAATCACTTGTTACATGACTTAATATCTAAAGGTAAGTTATACAACGTACTACTGTCAAAATAAAGTTAAAATCCATATTACTAGATTAGATGTTAATAAAAATATTTTTCTGCTGATATTATGCAAGAAGTTAGGAATTGAGACAGTATTTTTATTTTTACTATAGTCGAGTTTCACAATGACACAATTAGCATATCTCTATTTTTATATTTAATGATGTTCTTCTACTTTATTTTTATGCCGTTTAGAATTAATAAGGTTAAACAAAGACAGGATACATTTGCATAGCATAATGAACTGCCCTGTTTGAAACAGTAATGGCATCACTATTAAGAACTGACTATGTGCTAGGCTCTGTTATAAGCATTTTACATGTATTAACTACTTTAATCTTCACAACCCTACGAGATAGATACTATTATCATCTCATTTTAAGATGACAGAGCTGAGACTTAAAGAAGGTAAGTAGCTTTCCTAGACTCACAACTACAGTGGAGCCTATATACTAATAAAGGTAAATGACTCCATGTCACAAAACTAGATTAGCCTCCTGTTTTACAGTATTCTATTTTAGTACTTTTTTTCCTAAATTCCACCCCTCCACACTACCAACACCATCCACCTTAAAAATAAAACAAAAGGAAATCATTGGAGAACTTATCAACACCTCCAAATTCATTAAGATAAAATCTATTTATGGATTGTGTATAGATATATGAATGGTCAAAGAGTAAAGTGTCTATTGGCATGTTTCAGAAGTACAGTATGTAAGGAAGAATAAAAAGCCCCAAAACATTTCTCCTAAACTGCCAGACAGGACTGTAGCAAGTAACGTTAATATAAACAAATATCTTTAACAAGTATTTGAGATTCTAGGTAATTTTTAAGTAATAAGAACCAAGAAAAAATCCCTTCCCACTACCTCCAATATTCTAAAAAGCCCAGATAAATCCCCAACGAAACTCCTATATTTAGTTGTGATGAAAACCCACTAAATATAAATCACCAACACAATTAAGTGGCTTAGTTTTGATCTTATTTTTATCCTAAACATAATGAAACACAAATAAAAATAGCCCCTGCAATGCCTTCCTTTTGCAAAAAATGTTTTTCAACAGCCCACAGACTATTATATTTCTTCCAGCAAAGTAGATGGAAATTTTTAGTTCACTATTTGTTTCTCATTAAAATTCAATGGGTTTAAAAATATATATATGTGAACAAAAGAAAACAAAAGCTGGAACATGGAAAAATGAGGGCTTATGTTAGTCAAAGAACTGTACTGAGAAGCAAATAATTTCTATATAACTTTTCCTAAAAAACAGAATATCTCACCTTCCCTGTGAAAAGGAAATGACATTTTAAATAAAGACACAGATTTACTATAGCTCTTTAATAAAGCTCTAGATATTTTTTCAGTATTTACATTTCAACAGTATTTAGAGCAGCAATATTTTTCTGCTCACTCTTAAAATTTATTTGGATAATAACTTTAAAAATTAAGCTATATTTTAAAACCCAATGGTTTCTTGCATATTGTGAATATATCTGATATCATGTGTGGGAACATTCTCTAAAAGCATATCTTTTATAAAAAACAGAATGGTATCCAGATGGAAAGACTTGAGGGAATTTAATTACTATGTTGTTACCAAATAGTTATAACCATTTCAGATCTAATTAGTTCTCAATAGTTAGGTTTGACAGACTACTTTCTTTCTCAGGTACTAAAAGGTCATTTTCTTTACATTTCCATTAGAAATTAACCTTTGTAATAAACTTTACCCAAAATACAAGAGAATGTTTACCACAATATGGACTTTTAAAATACTCCGGATGCAATTAAAATTCTTTGAGAAAAACATATTCATATGTTACAGAATGTCTATACCAACAGAAAATCCAGCTTACCTTTTAATAACAGACCAAATATTATTATGCCAATAGGCTAAACTTTAAAACTGAAGATAAAAGCATAAATAAAGGGAATGGGGATAGAGGTTGAAAAAGCTAAGGTGTAACAACAGAAAACCTAATTCTTCTGATTCTATTCAAGAAGCAGATTCCATAATAACCAGAACAGAATAAACAAACTATTCCAGGCAGGAGGAAATAGCAAGAAACAACAATTCTGAAATAGACAGGCCAACACACACTGTCAGAATATAAAATCACCTATCCAATTTTGCACAATTCTCCATACCTGAAATAAATAAGCTATTACTTTAATCAAAACACCATCACTGTTATCATAGGAGGCATCATACACCCATTAATGAATACAAAATACCAACAGAAACTACAAACCTTGATTTAATAAAATAAAAAAGCGTTAAGTTAATAAAAATAAAATAAAATTTTATGTGTGAAACTTGAGTAAGTAAGGAATAAAACCAAAGAAACAGACAAAAAAGAGCCACAGTTTTCAAAGCACATAATCACAGCTAAAGTAATACTTGGAAAAATCTTATATACCAGGTTGAGTGATCCAATCCTGAAAGTTCAGCAGCACACACTGTATAAGAGTTGACTAAAAATGGTTTGTTGCCGCATTAATATAATTCTATGTTCTGATATTGCTATTGTTGTATAAAATAAGGGGGCTAATTTTTGTTATTCCTGGCAAAATGTTAACAGGTGGCAACTGGTTTAGAAAAGTGGACACCATCAAGAACAAATTGATATATTCAAATAATAGAACTGAAACAATACTTTCTTGGTGTCATACCAAAACCTTTTCTAAGACAACCATCTCTGTTGACTAAAGAAAGCTTATTTCAATAACACAGTAGAAAGCGGGGATATTAACAGAAAGCATATTTTAATAAGTACTACTATTCTAAGCAATAGTACCAAAAATTGCAGTGATGCTTGGCAAAATCTCCTCTTGTAGTTTACTTACCTCCATTGACTGCATCTTGCTCTTCCCCTTCCGGAAATGCAACCTGGGTTGGCAAGCTATTCCTAGATCGAGTGACTGTCTCTAATTGGGAAGCCCGTCCCAACAGAGACAGCTCATCTAGCACCTCTCCTTCTTTGGCCTCGAGATCTGATTTTGAAGTGGTTAAAGGTTTTATATTTTCAGGTGCCATCAGCCTACTTGAGTCGTTCAAACATGCTACTGTGCCACTGTCCAAGCTCAACACTCGGGCACGAGTCTTGGCACTATTTGTGCTGGAAGTCCGTCGTGCTGCCCGCTTCTTGCCAGTTCCTTCAGGACCCAAATTAGCCTTGTGTGTGTGTTCAGAGTCTATGCCCCTTTCTTTATGGATGTGTTTGGTCTTTAGAGCACTGTATCTGCCCTCAGGAGACTGACACAAGTGAGAAGTAGTGCTAGAAGAGCTATCACTGCTGAACTGGTGAGCAGACTGAACACTGGATGCTCTACTCAAGTCACTTTGATCACTAGAGTCCTCATCATGACAAAATATAGCACTATGTGGTTTGGTACCAGAAACACCTCGAAAGGAAACATAGTCTCTATGCCGACTTGAATCAAAACTGCTGGCCCGTTTTTTCCCTGTCCTTCTCCTGCCTGACTTGTGGGCAGAGGCTGTCCGGTGGATTAAGCTAGAGGATTTAGGTCGGACATCCCCTTCCTTTTGCTTTCCACCAACATCTTTACATGCTTTTGAATCTACTGGAACGGATGACTTATCACTCTGCTCCTCTGCATTTTCTGCAGTTTTCTCAAGTGGTCTGTCCCCTTGCAAAGTAAATTCATTTGCATGGGGATTTTTATTGGCTTCTTCTGATGCAGAGGTGCTGAGACCCCTCTGATTGTGCATCTCATCAGAGGTATTAGAATCCTTGGCCTCATCAACCCCACTGTTTGGACTCCCTTCCAAGGCAGTCTTTTCACCACTAGTCCTTTTGTCACTGGCACAGGTGCTCTTCTCCTCTAGGTCAGTACAGCACTCTTTTTTCCTGCTACTTTTCTTTCCTACTTTAGGAGACTCCTCGTGCTCTGACAAGATACTCTCTATGTGAGTTGAGCTGGTCTGCTCACTTTTATAGCTGCTGACAGTACTGTTAGTGTCGCGGTCTGTTCCACTGCAATAACTCTCTGTTGACCCGCTACTCCGTGTGCTCAAGCTCCTCAAGCTGTCCATGCTTTTGTCTGCCTTCAAAGGTTTGCTCTTCCCACTTTTTGTGGGTGGCTGAGAATTACTGTTTTTCAGGTCACCAGCAAGCTGAAACTCCCCAGATAAATGAGAATTTTCCACCAAGGATTCTTTGGATCCAGAATGAGGCTTGGATGATTCTAACTCACTAACTGGATCTAACCCACGTCTTTGCTGATATAGAGGGAAATCATTCAATGATGTGTCTGGAAAAGCCACAGCAGAGCTAGAAGTCCGTGGCACACCACGTGGTCGGTGATCCTTCCTATAAGAGTGTGAATGTAAAGGTACAAGAGAAGCTACTTCTGTGTCACAGGCACTGGACAGAGACTGATCGATGTGGTGGTGGTGGCTATGACTTGGCAGGCTCACTTTGTCACTGAAGTCCCTTGGTAAGTCCTGTCCACAAGAGGATAAGGAAGGCTGAATGGAGATGAAGGAGTCATTGGAGACCAGACGGAAGAGCTTCCGATCAGTTGCTAAATCTGTTTCAAACACATATTTGGAAATGTTAAAACAAATGTATGATTTGCTTTTCCACTGTTTAACAATGGAAAGGAATTCATACCATACAGTAAATCAAGTATAAACAATTTCTCAAGCAGTTCACTGAGTAACAGTTGGCCAGTCATTCCAAAGAGCTGGTTTCTATTTCACAGTTGCACAAAGCAAGCTTTCTACTGATGGAATGAACTGAGCTTCCAAATCTTTGAGTTCTTCAATTGGCCTCAGAAAAGATTCTATAGACTATCAACAATAAAACAACAGGCAACAAAGGATTATATTTAAAATTCTACGTAAGCTCTATTTAAGATTTCTATGCAAGCTCTGTCTCTAACTTACTAACTAGGCAACTTTGGATTACCCTCTGAGCCTCTGTTTTCTCATCTGTAAAATGCAATATCAACCTCACTGAGTAGTAGGCAAGGAATAACTGAATAAATAACATATACTGCTTGGCACAATGCTGTTACAATTAATGACAGCTATCATTATTTTACCTCACTAACACAATAAAATTCTTTTGAAAAACTAATATGATTATATTACAAATCAGCAAAAACAGAGTTCTCAGAAACAAACAAAGAAAAAATTAAAAGGCTGACCAATGCCCACACAAAAATATGATATATTACACGATATAAGACATCTTGCTGTTCATAATGGTTAAAACATCAACAACATTACAATGCAAAATATGGCATTTTCTCTTTCATTATTGATACCGCAATTACAAAATGCCTCATGAAAAAAATACATATCCTATATATCTGTAAAACCATTCCTTTTATCCTCCATTTAGGACAGTGATCAGTGACTTGAATTACCACACACACACCCACACACACACCCACACACACACACACACACACACACACACACTATGCATATAAATATAAATACAAATAAATCCACCTACTTACCTACCTACATTTTAATTTATCTTGGAATATTGCTTGACAACCGAACTGCACAATAGCTGATTTTTTAATATACATTTTGACAGACAAGGATGGTTGAGCCTGCTGTTAGTTCAATTAAAAAAAAAATTATCTTATTTGTCATTAACTGCATAGAAAAAGTATAATAATAGATTCTACAGTAAGTCAGGCTCTTCCCAATAGAATTTCAATGACAAATCCCCTAAGATTAAAATAGAATGAGTTACAAGAAATGTTTATATACTTTTTAAAAATCTAAATCTACATTAGAACTAAATAATTAAAAACTCAGAGACAGGGGTTCCAGTCAAGATGGCAGAATAGACGGTCCCCAGATTCGCTCTCTCCCACAAATCAGCCAATTTACAACTATAAAAATGTAACATCAGCCAAGCTGGGGCAGCTGGAGCTCAGGGGAAGAGGAGGAGAGACCTATGGAGCTCATGAAGGTGGAGAAACCACAATGAGAGAAAGAGAAAACTGCTCTCAGCGTTTCGGGCCACAGCCGCTTTAATGCTGGAGCGCATGGAGCAGGAGCTGACAGAAGCCGCAGCTGTGCCCTTTAGATGGAGTTACTTGGAGGCAGCAGGGGAGAAGAGGACTTTGGGGGCCCCCAGGACAGCAAGACCACTAGTAGGGTTCCCATGGACCCATGCAGGACTGAGGAGCCAGAATAGCTGAAAAAGGGGAGCCATTCAGAGGCCGGTGAATCAACACAAGGATGGGGACAGGCCAGTCCCACAGGAAGTTTTTGGAGCATAGGCAGTGGGGGAGACAGGCCTACCAGGAGAACACTGACACACAGCAAGGACAGCCGACCTGCCCCCCAATCAACACAGGCCCACTCAGAGAAGACTGGTCAGGAACGCGAATTGCATTGGAGTGCAGTTTGATGAAAACACTCAGGCCCAGATCAGAGTTTCTACACAACCCAGAACTACACGGAGTCTCTGGAGAGCCGGAAGTACCTATAAGATCAACCATTAAACCCTGAGCTGCACAAAAAGCCTTCCCTAGGGAACCAGCAGCAAAGCAGGAATTTAGCTCAACGACACAGCTCAAGTACTGGTTCTACAGGAAGTTCCCCATGTCAGAAGTATGCAAAGGACAAAAAATTAGTTCCGGCCCAGGCACACCACCAATGCCTAGGGGCCCACCAGGGAACATGAGGCATAGATCCGGGGACAGGACCCCCGTCCACAACCACTCACACTGTCAACACCTCGGGACTGCCCAGGAACCTGAGGCTTGGAGCCAGGGAACAGACCCCACTCCTATACCCGGGCACACCACCAACGCCTTGGGGCCTGCTGGGCGGCTCGGGGCTAGCAGCCAGGGACTGGACCCCCCCCTTCCCACAACCAGGCATACCACACCAGCACCTTGGGAGCCACCCAGGTACCAGGGCATGGAGAAAGGGACCAGACACCTGTCCCACAATCAGGCACTCTGCCAGCACCAAGAAGCATGCCAAAAACATCTTCTGCATGTGGGTGGCCCACTGCAGCCACAATACATGGCTGCCGCAAAAGCAGCTAGACGCCACAACCAACATGCGGATGGTCTGTCAGCCACTGGAAGTGCATTGACACAAAAGTCACAAGCAGAGATAAAGAAAAGAAGAGGACATCTCTCTCCACAAAGCCCATTTCAGAGTGACAGAAGAAGCCTGTGCTCTATGATAATATTGGGGGACCTGATCACACCTCTCAGCATTGGACAGATCATCTAGGCAACAAATCAACAGAGTAACCATTATTCTTTCAGAAGGAGAGAAGAAATCTAGGGTAATTAGAGGGGGGAGGAGGGAGGGAAGGGGATGAGGAGAGACTGGACAAGGGGCATAAAGAATAATTATGATTTGTAGCAATATATATATGCTAGTAATATTGATTTGATCAACATATGTCAATGTTGAATGCCAAAAATATGTACTACTCAATTTTGATTCAATAAAAATTAAAAAAATAAAATAACTTTAGAATGTACCATACAAATTGTGATTTATAAATGACCTATTAGATTTTACCTTATGCTTTAAAGTTTTCATGATAAGCAAAACCCATGTTCCTTATCATTTACTTAAAACAGCTGTCACTGTACTTGGGCTCTTACATCCTCCAAATACCAAAATTTAAAAGTTAGCATTGTATTTACTTTTCTGTAGTATTAAACTATAATAGGTTAGTTCTAAAAACTCTCAATATATATATCTCTAGTAAACAATTTTGGGATGGTATAATATTCACATTTCAAGGACATGAATTTTACAGAACAAAAACTTATTAATTCTAAACAAGTAGTTGAAAATCACTAAATCTAATATACAACAAAGGACTTTTTTTAAAGTGCTAATGATCAAATCTAGCTCCCTTCTAAGATGTTAATATAGCAGAAATTTAATTTTTTGATTTTAAAAAACACCACCAAACATACTTTAATACATGCACTTTTTTCAGTGGTGCTATACAAATATGCCAGAAAAGCTTTAATTGTGTCAGGAAGAATTTTAGGTGGTTTTAGGAAATTTTCAAGTAAACAGACTTTCTTAGACATTTTTTCTTACTGGTTCCAATATATTAAAAGACTACATCTAAGTTAAGAGGCTCAAATTAACACAGAAAGATACTATTTTTCATCTAAACAAACTTGTTTTCAATATTTGCTACTAGTGGTGTTTAGGATAAGAAAGGCATGTTCACATACTGCTCGTGGTGGTGCAAAAAAAGTGGTATAACCTTCTATAAAGCAATCTGGCAATATGGCCAAAAACCTTGAAAAAGTATTCTTACCCTTTAATGGGTAATCTCCTTCTAGAAATTGTTGCTTAAGGGCATATCAAATATGTGTATAAAGTTTTATCATGAAGTTGGTCGTTTCAAGTTATTTAAAGGTTCTTAAAACAATGTCCAATAAAAAATGGTTGAATAAATTATTTAGTCTAGTAATAATGTCATACAGGCACTAAAAACATTTTCAAAGATTATGCAATAATATGAGAAAATACTTAAGTGAAAAACATAACACTATATAAAACATATGTTTCCAGTTCTGTAAGTTAAAAAGAATGCCAAGGGTATACATGTGTACGTACAAATGTTAAAAGTGATATACCATATTTAGTTATAAAAAGGAATAAAGTCCTCATATATGCTATAATATGGTCAGTGAAAGAAGCCAGAGACAAAAAGCCATATATATAATTCCCTTCATATGAAATGTCCAGAATAGGCAAATGCATAGACAGAGAAAGTAGACTAATGGTTGTCAGGGGCTTGTCGAAGGAGGAAATGGGAAGTGTGATGAGTACAGGTTTCTTTCTGGTGTGATAAAACTGTTCTGGAATTAGGTAGTGGTGATGGATGCATAACCTTGTGAATATACTAAAAAGTACAGAACTGTACACTATAGGAGGGTGAATTTTATGGCATGTAAATTACATTTCAATAAAGAAATAATATGAAAAAGTGATCCACCAAAAATATTAAGTTTCTCAGAGGCAGAAGTGTGAATTATTTTCTTCTTCACACTTAACTATTTTTTCTAAAGTTAACATACATTATTTTTATAAACAAAAATCCTATTTTTCTCTTCTCTTCTGGATCATCTCCATCAATTATAAAAACATGCTGTTATTACTCTTACAAAACCTTACAAAATCCAAATCCCTTCTAACTTCCCCTGCTAGCTATCACCATACGTCTCTGCCCACTTTACAAAAATTCACTGAAATACTATATATTCACTGTCTTCTCCTCCATTTCTCTCTTAAGCAGATTCCAATCCCACTCCTTTAAGACTATGCTTATCAAGGTCACCAACACCTTCTACATTTGTTAAATCCAATGGTCAAGTCTCATTCCTCATGTCACTTGAAGTACCCTGCAGCATTTGACAAAGCTGATCCATCCATTCTCTTTGAAATGCTGGGATATAACAGTCTCAGTTTTCCTTCTATTTCAACAGTTATTTCTATCAGTCTTCTGGACTTAAACTGGAGTGGCTCAAGGGCTCAGTCCTTACAAATTTTCATTTTTCCATCTACATTCCCTCTATTGTAAATCTCATCCAGTTTTATGTCCCCATGATAAACTAGAATTTGGAAGTACCCATAACTAGTTCTTCCATCTACCCAGCCCCTGTACTCATATGGGGATAGTCTGCTCTTGGATAGGAAAGACATGAGAAGGCTAGGCAGGAAAACTGTAGATTACCCCTTCTTAAAAGTGAGAAAGTAGAGGATACACCCCTACATCCTCAGTTTTCTCCCAATCATCCTGAATCACGTGACAAAATGAGTGGCAACCAATCAACTGCTAATCAACTAATTAAAGGTCATCGTCCTATAAAACCGAACCAGCCAGAGAACCAGAAGTCCCAAATGATATTCAAGTCAGAATGAACATCTGCCACTAGATGGTGCCAAACCACAGCCAAGAAAAAGAAAGATAAGGATTATGGCACCAGGTCACCTAAACTCCAAGCCAGCTAACCATGCAGGCTTGCTGTTAGTTTATAAACTTTGTTAATAACCCAACCCCACATTTGACATAACTGATTTCTTTTTGGTACTTATACAGTGACAACTCCTAAATTTAAAACCAACCCAGACCACTTATCTGAAATCCAGACTTCTCTATCTACTCATTGCTGCTTAGAGGTCTAACAGCATCTCATACCTGATATGCCCAAACTGAACTCCCTATCTTACCATCCATGCTCTCCTCACCCACAAATCTGCTCCTCCTCAGTCTTCCCCCTTTCAGTTAATGGGCACTCTATCCCCACGTCTGCTTAACACAAGAGCCTTAGAGTCACCCATGACTATTTCTCTTACACAATATATCCAAATCTATCAACACATCTTCTTCTTAACATCTACACAAATACACAGTCAAATTACACTACCCTGATCTGTGCCCTGGATTATTGCAATAATTTGCCAACTGAGCTACCTGCTTCAGCTTTTGCCCTTTTTGATATATTCTCAACACAGGAGCTAGAGTGATTCTGTTAAAATGTAACACAACCCTTGGGGCCGAACCCGTGGCGCACTAGGGAGAGTGCCACACTGGGAGCGCAGCAGCGCTCCTGCCATGGGTTCGGATCCTATATAGGGATGGCTGGTGCGCTCACTGGCTGAGCGCGGTGCGGCCAGTCTCAAAAAAGTACAAAAAAAAAAAATGTAACACAACCCTTGGGGCCGAACCCGTGGCGCACTAGGGAGAGTGCCACACTGGGAGCGCAGCAGCGCTCCTGCCATGGGTTCGGATCCTATATAGGGATGGCTGGTGCGCTCACTGGCTGAGCGCGGTGCGGCCAGTCTCAAAAAAGTACAAAAAAAAAAAATGTAACACAACCCTTTAGCAGTTCCTCATCTCAATGGGAATTAAAACAACATCTTTAAAATGGCTTCCAAGCCTCTATACAATTGGTCCCCTCACTCCACACCAGCCACATTATTTCTCAAACCTGACAGGCAGGTTCCTACTTTAGCGTTTGCCCTTGCTGTTACCTCTGCATGAAGGGAGCCCCCTCCCCCAGATACCCTGATAGCTCACTCCTTCCCACTTCTTTGCTCTCAGTGAGGCTAGCCCTCAAACCACTCTGTTTAAAATTAGTTGCCCCAGCCCCTACCACTCCCTATCCTCTGCTCTATTTGCTACATATATATTGATTTATACAAGTATGATTCCATATTAATAGTATGGAAGCAACATAAGGGTAGAAATTTTTGTCCGTTCATTCACTAATTTATTTCCAGTATTTAAAACAGTGCCAAGCACATAATGAGTACTTGATAATACTTGTTAAATGTTAAACACATGGAAAAATGTTACATGATAAAAGCAAATTATAAAACTATACGAAAGTAATACTGTATGAACTAAAAGCAAATCTAAATTTGAATTATAGGACTGCCATTGCGTAGCTATGTGACTTCGGACAAGTTTCTTACAACTTCTCTCTAAGCCATAACATGCTTATCTGTAAAGTAAAAATAATAATAGTATTAACTTCGTATGCTTATAGTGAAGATTAACTGGTTGAATGTATATAAGGTGCTCAGAAGAAGACCTAAACCAGGGGTTGACAAACTAAGATCCATGGATCCAAGTCCAGCCCTTTACTTATTTTCGTAAATGAGATTTTAGCACAGCACAGCCACGCCCACTCACTCGTATTGTTTATGGCTCCCTTCACTCTACAATCAGCAGAGCTGAGTAGCTGAGTAGCAAGAGAGACCAAGTGGCCTGCAAAGCTACCTGGCCCTATACAGAAGAAGTTTGTCAACACCAAAAACAACAGACACCTAGACAATAATAGTATGCACTCAGTAAATGTTAGACATCTTTATCCACATTTATGTGTAGCTGCAAGGGCAGATTTGTGTGTATATAATTCCCAACCTGCCAGACTACAAAAATCTTGCTCCCCCATGGTACTTTCCGGATGTAAAATAAGATAAAGAGATACGTGATCCCTAAATGTAGTGACAGCAACCCCTCTTAGATTACTATCTAGTTGATGAGACACTCTGATGGTCACATATTATAGAAAGGGATACTGTAATTCTCAGAGCAACCGATTCACCTTTAATTTAAAAAAAATTTCCACACCTACAGTATGTTGAGAGGTCTTTTAGGGTTTGGTTTTGGTTTTTTTGGTAGGGTTGGGAGGGGTATTCCACAAAAGCAAATGAACAGTGATACAGTACTGTAATTCAAAAATGCAGAGTTACAGTGAAAAACTTAAAATTCCAATACCAGTAACAAAATGCACTTATAGGAAATGAACCTGGATAAAATACCAAATTAATGGGCAAATGTCATAATTCAGTTATCTATTTGTAACCTCATACACAAGTTTCATGACTAAGAATAGGAAATTTGTCAGCTGATCTGCCCACCAAACATCATCCACAGGTTAATAATAACGGGGTTATAACAGGATAGAAATAGGGAGATGGGTTTCCAACTCAATTCTGGCTCATGATTATATAACCTTGGAAAATCTCCATTTGAAAATGAGGATGACATACTGTCCTTTCATGTCTGAAAATTAAAAATCAAACATGAAACTACGGTAGTTAAAAAAAACTATAAAATCCAAAATATTCATTTATAATGGAGTTGAATAGGAGAAAAAAAATCACATATTGCCAAAATTTCTATTAACAATCTGCTACAGGAAGGAAGCATGTTGGAGACACACATATAGTTTCTCAGTAAGTCCAACAGCAAGTTATTTCTATATGAAAATATGTTGTTTTTGCAGTTGGGCAAGAGATGAAGTAGCTGGCAATTAGAGATCAACCTGAAAGGAAAATAATAGTTTTACATACTAGGTTATCACTAAGCTGGGCTAGATGTTCTGACCAACTAAAGAAATAGCACATTCTTATCTCTCATCTCATACTCTGTAGCATATGCTCATAAAATTTCTCTCTCCATGTTTATTTGGCAGAATATGTATAACTGAATTCCCGTAGGCTAAAAGCACTTATAACGCTATATTACTATTACCCCAGTAAATTACTGATGTGGACTGAATCACGTCCCCCAAGTTTTATGTATCAGAGGCTTGGTCCCCACGGTGAAAGTGTTAAGAGGATAGGAAATACTATTGTGGTGGTTGAAGGGTGGGGCCTTGAAGAGGTGATTAGATTGTAAGACCATGCTGTAGTGAATGGATTAATAATAATGGTGGTCAGGGGCATGGATCTGAGGGCTTTAAAAGGACAGTACCCGACAGTCTCTCTCTTTCTCTCTCTCTGCTCCACCATTTTCTGCCATGTGAGACTCCTACATTCATTGATTGCTGTAAAGCAACCACCAAAGAAGATCCTCACCAGATGTGTTCCGTGGCCCACCTTCTGAAACTATAAGCAATAAATTTCATTTTCTTAAAAATTATCCAGCTCCAGGTATTTTGTTACAAGCAACAGAAACAGACTAATACAATCATTCCATTTTAATGTTTCCTAAAAATACTATGCTAAATTATTATAAACTTCTGCCAAAATGTGAGTGGCATATTACAAAAATACAATCTGGTCACCACAATATACAATGTGACTATGAAGTATAATGTTTTTACCTTGCTCTTCACTTCCTTCCTTACAAAGACTTGAGCTCTGGCCCAGACTTAAACTGATATCATCAGAAGTCTTAGCAGTATCTGTATCTCCTACAAAGTTAAGAGGAACACGTAAGGATATTACATAAAAAAAAAGTAAAGGCTGTAGGTGTGGCATAACCAAGGAAGGACATTAAAGAATATGGTACATATCTATCAACTAAAGTAGTTTTTATATATCAAGAGTTACAATAATGGAAGATGCACTGAACTAATAAGAAGTACCAAGGACTATCAGAGCACATAATTATTCTCATAGAACTACTAACCAAATAATATGGAAAGCTTTATAATGTTAGCAAATAAAACTATTTCTTTAAAAATAAGTAGATTTAAGGAAAATACAAATTATGTAATAACAACTTGAAGAAACATAAATTTCCTTCCCAAGGAAAATTAGTAAGCTAAAAAATTGTAGGGTAAAAATAATATGAATTTATCTGAAGTAGATGTATAGAACAAAAGGCAGGAAAAAACTTTCCATTTTCTTTTCATTTGTGTTTCACTGTGTCTCATTTGTGCACATTTAAAGGTTTCACATCAAATTACTTAGTTTTCTATGAACCCCACCAAAATCCATGAAAGTACTTTCCCTCAAGGCAAGGAAGTTTCTTATAGATCAAAATTTATTATTTGTGCAATCTAATGCAACCGTTCAAACACTTTTGTGAAATCTGAACGATAAAAGAGGAACACAATTTAAATCAAGCAACCTTTAATAAGATAAATAATTTTACCTATAAAATAATTTCAAGAATAATCTTTTCACAACATTTTAAATGTGCAGTACTGTTATCTTTATTAAAAGCAAAAATGAAATGGAAAGTCAGAGGCAATTTTTGATCATGCTTACCCTTAATAGTTGCTGCTGTTCCAAGACGAGAAGAACCAGATCCAATCTGAAAACATAACGTGAAGTAAATAAAACTAATTAAAATGCTAGCTATATGTCATTATCAATATAAACCAACAAGATTATCAAGCAAAATTATCATATTATCAAAACACGCTATCAATCACTTTTATCAATATTAAAGGACACCTGCTGGGCATTTTCTGTCAGGGCCACACAACCTGTTTGCTGTGGCAATGCTGCCTGTATCTTACAGATGTGCTGAGATACCAAATCCCTCTGAATGCTCAGGATTTATGGAGCCCTCTGGACTGGATGCCTCCAACCTTAAGCCACTCCTGTCATACAGTGTTTTGTTTTATTTTGTTTTGCTGGCTGGTCAGTAGGTACTATCATTTTTTATATTGCATCATGACACGTTTACGTTATAGACAACAGCAAAACCAGGTGTTGAGATAAATTTAGACTTCTTAGGATACAAAAAGGGAAGGCTCAGGGACAAAACACACTAATATATGCTACAAAGAACATGTAAATCTTACTGTCAAAATGTTAGTGTATCAATATGTACTTTCCTTAGTTCCAGACAAAAAGTAAGTACTTCTTTATATATGGCTAGAACACTTAAAAATAATCTAAGGCATACACAAAAAAATTAATTTTTAATACAAACTATAAACAGAAAACTAAACCTGATTACTGAGCTTTTAGTGCTTATATTCAAGATGGTATAACACTTCCCTAAAATTTCGCAGCCATTATTTATACTACCATAAAAATCATCTAAACAAATAACACAAATTCCACAAACACATTAAGGAAACCAAATGTAACAGCATGACAGTTACTAAATCAGTAGGTCTTAGCAACTCTTCCTATAACCTGTTTTCATGGGATTCAAAGAAGAAAACAGTTAAGCAAATTTAGCATCTTAAAATAAAATTAGGAACATTCATATAATACTTTATATCTCACCAAGTCTTCCCACTTATTGATTCTACTTAACAAGAGTATACTACAAGTAATATGCTCAATATATAGGTTACTGTTGACTATGAAGGGGCATTTGGGAACTTTCTTTGCCTGGATGGCAATTAAATGGTTGTACGCAGGTGTAAAACTTAGCACTGAGCTCCACACTTAAGATGTGCACTATGCTATTTAAGTTATGTGTCAGTTAAAAAGTAAATAAAAATAAGCATATATATACGGATTGAAACTACTAATAAACTCTAGATGAAGCCAATAAAAAAAAGTTTTGTAATATTTTTGAACTGTTTATTAAGCTTGGTTCTCTTAGTTTTTCCTAATTTCTGGTTTTAATTAGCCATAAAAGGCACTGCAATTAACCAGAAAGAAAAAGGCCAAGAAGCATTTTACTACAAAATAAAGTTTCATTCATTCTTACCACACCTACCAGACAAGTTATAGAACATATGTTACTTTTCTACTGAAATTATAAACAAATAACTTCCTGGACAGAAATTTAAAAATACAAAAGCAAACAAAAACACCATTTTATGCGTACTCTTCCAGGAATTTAAACTTTAAAAAAAAAACTTTTAAAATATGGGTATAGTAGTCATTTGCTCACAACCTTAGTGTTCCCTTTCTCCTTCCTTATCAAGCACCCCATTGTGTTCAAACACTGGTCATACATCTTTTGATCTATGAGAAGTGGGTCCAGTCCTGGGTCTAAAGGTAGGTATATGACCTAGTTCTAATCAATGACTGTATGGTACAGTATGCTGAAGAGCTTCACGAAAAGACCTTTTCATGTCTGAGAGGATGATGACCAAGGAGAATCTCTCTGCCCCACACCATTACACCTGCTTCCTAACTTTTCAAAAGGGTCATGATTGAAACTGCTGTGCTCATCCTGCAACCCTGAGGGAAAAGCCTAGAGCAGAAATGACAACCTAGGGCACTAACGTTACTGGGCTGCTGAACAAATGCCACACAAACACCTCAAGATTTAGGTGACAAACATAAACTCCTACTGCTTTAAGTCAATATTAGTTGAGTATTCTACTACCAGCTGACAAAAGCATTCTTAATGAATACAATGGGTAGTTTATATTTGCTCTTCTGTATTATTTAAGATTCCCCCCCAAATTATCAAAGAATCATGATTATTTACATGTGGAACAACAGAGGATCAAGAATATAAAGTATAGTACATCCAAATGGAATGCATTCTCCAAAAGGTCACTATAGAAAAACACTTTATGACATTAACATTCATGATACATTCAGTAAAGAGAATCAAGTTACCAAAAGCATGCACACTATAATTCCTCGTTGTTTAAAAAACTTTTTTTTTTTTTTTTGTCTTTTGTCTTTTTCCGTGTCCGGCAACGGATCGCAACCCTCAGTGTTGCCCCCGTACCGGACCGGGGACCGGCAACGGGATTGCAACCCTCGGTGTTGCTCCCGTGCCTCGCTCAGCCTGTGAGCGGGAACCGGTCTGTATGTGGGATCCGAACCCTCGGGCGGAGCGCCGCCGCGCTTCCCAAGCGGCGCACTATCCAGTGCGCCACCGGGCCAGCCCTAAAAAACTTTTTGATAATGACATTATGAGTGTTTTTAATTTTCTTTTTGCTTACCCTCACTTGTTAAATTTCTAAAAATAAAAAGGAAAGAATTAAGGAAAAATGGTATCATCTTACACTTGGGGTGAAGTTTTTTATTTAAGTGGTTTGCGTAAACTAAAACATTCTACTATTTCTTCTCTTTGATAAGTGCCATAGGAAAGGTCCAGGAAGGATTATGTATGTCAGAGAAGAAAGGTTACTTTGTATCTTATACCTATATTCCTTGGTAACACATATCAAATCTATTACTTAGGTTACTTTTATCAAATCTACTATGAGATCCCAATCTCTTTGAAGGTAAGGCCTACTCTCCACCCCAGACCAAGTAAAATACCTTCAATACTACCAGGCACTAAAATATTTGAAGGCAGACAAGTGACAAAAGAAAAGAGAGGGAGGTAAGAGAGAGAAAAAAGAGGGAAAATAGAAAGGGAAGGGAAATGGAGGGCAGAAGATGGATGGGGGAGAGCAGAGGTGGCAAGAGGGAAGGAATGATAAAATGACTACTGCACAGCCACTACGTTCAAGGAGCTCACTAATTAGTACAGAACACATCCACATAAACAAAGTTAATAATGTGTAATAAGTGTTATATAATATGTACAAGAAACAATGGTATGTCTACACTGGTAATATCTATTACCAACATACAAATATACCAATATACAAAAAGCCTGACTGGTTCTTCACTTCAGCTTCTCTAAAGGGTAATAATAATTATGTCAACCATTTCTTTTGTCATAAACTGTATAAAACGAAAACACTAAAATCCAAATAGCACAATAGCCTCCAATATTTGCCCATTTTTATTCAAGAGTTACTATTTTAAGGAAAACCAAGTTAGGTATACTGTGTTTATGTGCACGCATGCTTTCATCATTACATTCAAGAAGGGACTCCCTCCCTGAAACGAGTAGGGCAAGTTCCCACAGACTGTTGCCAAGGGCAGAGTATCAAAAGGTGGCTGGCCACTGCTGTGCCCTCTCACCTGTCCCACTACAAAAATAAAAAAAGATGTGGTTCTCCAAAAGACTATTGGAAAAATATAGAATTACTCCCTGGGGTAATCTGATATTGCCCACATTTGTCAGTAAGAAGGAAGGCCAAGGTAAGTAAGAATACAAAAGAAGAAGTCATATTTAAGGATTAAGTAGTTTCATTCTATAAAAAGAAACTGAGAAAAGCACAAAGCCAATAAAAAACAAGATCAAGGATAGTTAATACTTTTCTTCAAACGGGCATCGTAAAAACTGAAGCTTAAAAAGTACCAATCCAATTAATATGTCACAGCCTTTTCCACATTTTTTTTAAACTCCTACATCTCCCATTCCATCAGCTTGTTATAATAAAAAGACAAATTTAAGGACCTATTTGTTCTATACTATACTATACTCCGTTACAACTAAAACCATTACCAAAAATTCATTCACTTGAACTCTAAATCACGAAAATACAATTCAAATAGAGGCAAACCTTCTATCAAAATACACTAGGAAATAAGACCCTGTTCAAGATTTTGAGTCATAAAATATAGTGTTCTTCATAATACTGTTCTTAAATAGCATAGGGCTCCTAAGGTAAAATAGTAGAATACTATGGAACAGAGTGAGGAGAATTAGGTCTGCTACTTAGGCATTTGTTAAATGAGGAGCCAGGTCTGAGTCAGGTCTGAACCAGCTCTACCTCTAAAGTTTATTATCTATACACATAGAGATACTTAGCAATCACTAATTGAAAGTCAACTATACACAAGGTGGTATATTAGTCAGTACAAAAAAAGAGAAAAATATACTCTGCAGAGGCTTATAAACTGTCACATATCATCATACACCAAAAATCCCATACTGGCCAGCCATACTGCCCCCCATCCCCCTGCAAAAAAACAGACAAAATTATATACCCAGGCAATGAGCATGTGGTACACGCTCAGAAAATATGTACTTAACTAACATAAAAAGTCAGTTAAAAATAAAAATATTAATATAAACAATCAAAAAATAATAATCAGAAAGATAAACCCGGTATCAGCTGGCTGACATAAGAATAGAAATGAGACCATCATCAGGAGGAGAAGAAAATGCAAAATAAAATACCACAGTTTCCTACCTGGTTGCTTGCATCTAGACCAGCATAAGAATTTCTTGAACTGCAACCAACTGGAGGTGTGGCCTCGCGAATGAACTCAGACATTTCAATCCCTCCACCAGGATCACTGAGGAAAAAAGAGTAACTGTCATTATCCTGACACTAATAATTATCTTTTTATTTATTATTTTTGTTATACTTTTTTCTATAAAACCAAGAGGTTCTCATTTTTAGTACAGAAAAAAAAAAAAAAGTAAAAAAATAATCATTCTTCCTTTATAAGTCTGTAACTGAAACTATTTTATTACCACATCACTACTTAAAAATCTTTAAAAGTCTCTTATCCCAAACTATCTACATCCAATCCAACATTAGAAACTGGCTTAATTACAATTATAGCATTCTAAATATTTTATATGTGCCATAAGACCACTCTAGCGAAGAAATGATTGCCTTTTGTTTCCCATAAGCAAAGAGAAATTGGTCAACTCTAAACACAGAAGACAACCAGATATTGCATTAACTGATCGCTCATGAGGTCAGTCTGCCTGAGCTGCAGGACACAATGATAAACATACAAGAGAATAGTCATCCTGGTCAAGCTATTTGCATCTGTATTTATTTAAAAATAAAAAGAATTTAATTGGGATACTAACTTGTTCCACAGAACTGGAAATCTAAGATTTTAGATCTATGTGTGTTGAGTTAGAAGACATAAGCTAAAAAAGTAAGATGATGCCATGCAGTAACATTTCAGAAAGACAAAAGAGAAAAGTACTAGGTTCTAAGAGCTGGGAAAGCCCACATATAGTACTTAAAGATAATGGGAACCCAGAATTAAGAAAAGAGATCACACCAAATTTCAAAAAACTTAGAAAATGCTATATAATAAGGTTCCTTAGGAACACAGCTCTTAGAACAACTCATAATCCCGTTTTTTCCCAAACTTTTTTACTCGTTCTACCTGGTATAAACAGAATAAGTACACAATAAACTTTTTGGCTATTATTATCAGGATAAAAGTTCCATTATATATATTGGATACTATAGTGGATATAAACTATCTTGACATCCAGCATCTAATTCAACCTCTTGGTTAACAAAAAAAGCAACCCAAAATTCTTCTGGTGAACCACCTAATCCTAAACTCTTATAGGGATTTTAGTAATGTTGATCCGATCCTTAAATTTAAGAGTAGGCCCTTCTGGCCAAAGTCAATCAGCATGTACCATTCTTGTGGTCATTGAAATTTGTTCTAGAATAAGTACATGACCCAATTCAGGCTAGTGCAAATCAGGCCAGGCGTGTCCTACTGTTGAGAGAGAAAACTCTATATCTGCTAGTCTTGATGCTGAGACTTAAAGCCAAGAACTGCTACAGCCATCTTACAACCTAAGGGAGAGCTGTCTAAGAAGCCAACTAATTAAAAAGAGCAGAGCTTGGCTACAGGAAGGGAAGCACGGTCATGAAGTGAATTTGAAAATCTGCATCCCGACACATCTGAAGACATGCCACACATGCAGACTTTTCAGTAATGAATCATAAATCACATTAAGCCTGTTTGGGTGGGGTATTCTGACAGCTGCAATCAAAAGATATAGGCAGATATAATTTGCTTGCAAGCATACCTTCCATTTAAGTATTTGTCACTATAGCAGTTGGAATTCTACTGTGCTTTCATTACTAATGGTCTCATAATTATAATGTCCCTATTTGCCTAATGGGTTCCTAATTCTAGGCCACTGACTACAGTTAGCTAACAAACGTCCTATAGGAAAACTAGCTCTCTAACTTGCTATCCATTTATAAAAATAAAACATATTGGAGCTCTGTTACAAACTTAATAGCCAATTCAGTGGACAAATGCCTATGTGTGAGAAATGAAGAATATGTTCATTTGTTAGCTCTTTGGTATTAACTCATACAAACGGTACAGGTCAGAATGAGAAATTTTTCTAAATTACGAAAAATCATAAATGTGTATACAGAGACAGCCATCACCACACTGAATTAGTGACAAATAACAACCAGCAATATTACTATTATCTCCACTGAATGCATTCTCTAAGCCAAATCCACAGAAATTACAAGGCGGAGGGCAAGATGAAGATTAAGGAATAAAATACTCAACACCACAGAAAGGAAAGAGAGCCCTCATTTTGCCCAGTTTATATATATTAGCTTTACTGATGTATAATTCACATATAATACAATTAACCCATTTAAACTGTATAATTCAATGGTTTTTAGTACACTCATAAAATTATAAAACCATCACCACAGTCAATTTTAGAACATTTTTATCACCTCAAAAACAAACCGCTTTAGCTATTACTCTCCTACTCCTTCAGTCCTCCCCAATCATAGGCAACTACTAATCTACTTTCTGTCTCTATATATTTGTCTATTCTGAACATTTCACATACGTGGAATTATATATATAACATGTAATCTTTTGTGACTTGCTTTAGCATAATGTTTTCAAGGTTCATCCATGTTGTAGCATGTATCAGTACTTCATTCCTTTTTATGGACAAATTATATTCCACTGCATGGATAGACCATATTTTGTTTATCCAGTCATCAGCTGATGGGTAATCGCCTAGTTTTATGTATCACTTCTGATAGCAAATCCAAATGATTACAATCTGAATGTAATAATAAACAAAAAAAAATACTAAGTACGGGCCGGCCCGGTGGCGCACTGCTACAGTGCGCCGCTTGGGAAGTGCAGCGGCGCTCCCACCGAGGGTTCGGATCCCACATACAGACCGGCCGCTCACTGGCTGAGCGAGGAGCGGGGGCAACACCGAGGGTTGCGATCCCGTAGCCGGTCCCGGTCCGGTACGGGCGTGACACTGAGGGTTGCGATCCGTTGCCGGTCACGAAAAAAGACAAAAAAAAAAAAAATACTAAGTACTTATTATATTCTGGTCATAGGAGTATGTGCTTTATTTCATTTTCTGATGAAATCTTACCTAAATTCTATGATATAAGTACTACTATCTTCATTTTATAGATTAACAAACTGAAAACCAAAAGGTGTAAACACTTGCCTAAGGTCTTAGAGGAGTGAACAACATGAGCTCAGTCACCAGTAGATAGGGTTCAAGTAGGAGGGGAGGATACAAACAATATTTACTCAGCACTCTACAACATGTTATCATGCCCGTTCTCCTTTCTGTTGCATACCTGAATGTAAGTACTCATAACCAGTATGGACTAAGACAAGGTTTGAACACCAGGTCTTTAAAACTCTAAAGCCCAGGTTCTTTCTTAGAAACCACACTTCCTTTCAAAAAATGGACACTGAAGGTTTCTTTCCAGTTTAAAACCAAAAGTAAACACTATTATTAGAATATGGTTTCTTACCTCAGCACTACTGACATTTTGGGGCCACATAATTCTTGATTGTGGAGGACTGTCCTGTGTATTATAGGATGGTTAGCAGCATCCCTGGCCTGTACTCACTAGACACCAGAATACTCCCAGTTGTGACAACCAAAACTGTCTAGACATTGCCAAATGTCCCCTAGGAAGCAAAATCACCCCAGTTGAAAAACAATGATCTAGAATTAATGGTCAATGGGAAGAAAAGGAGTACTAAAGGAACAAAAAAGATGAAAGGAAAAAGGGACAGCTCCTTTTATACAAAAAATGCTCTAGCAAAGTTTCTGTAATTTTCTCTTCTCTACAAATTCAGAAGTAGAACTTTTAGCCAAGCTGTAGATGTTCTAAATATAGCTAAACATATAATATGGGGGAGTAAGTTTTCTTAATTAGCAAGACTTGCAGGTTTTCAGAATGGAGATTTTAGCACATACCTGGAAAGTATAGTAGTTTACAATTCTCACAGAAGCAAAGAGGTCTACTGCAGTAAGCAATACACCAAATTCAGGGAATCTCTACCTTTATGCCTTAATTTCCCCATCTGTTAAAAAAAAAACAAAACCAAGTACAGGGAAAGGCAGAAAAGCAGATGGGGTCTAAGCTAAATTACAGAGGAGACTTCATAAACTAATTTGATTATTAGTATCATATTAAATGCTCACCCACAGGCTTTGATCAGAAACTTCACAGCACCATTATGGTACTAAATTTACCAATCTAATCTAGATTATAATGATGCTCATTAAAATATGAATAGATAAAAACAAAGTCCCTAAACAGAATAAATCTCCCTCAGAAAACTTAGCCTAACATTCAGCTTCATATTGTTTAAGCGAATTCTTAGTTTACCATAAATACAAGCATTAATTACTACCGTGAGGAACATAGAAAACATGGTCTGTCTCCAAAATATCTGTATTCAAATCCTAAAATTCAATGTGCTAATTTCCTCTCCTAAAGCATTAGAGATGTAATACAAACATTAATGACTTTCAATCTTTCCCTAAGATAATGGTTTAAGCATTTTAGAACTGCTATACCAATTAAAGAAAGACCAATGAAAACCATAAAGCTCAAGCAGCCCTACTAAATTCATTCACACATGCAACAAATTGACAGCTATAAACGTACCCAGCACAGTGATAGGCTCTAGAAATAAAAATATGTATTTTCCTGTTAATTTCTTTTCCTCAGAACAGAATGTTAGATTTGTAAGTAGGAGGGTGAGGAAAAGATATCAGAAACAGAAACCTAAAACAGAGATCTTACTTAATGGTGAAACTTAAAAACATTTTCTTCCAGATTAGAAGAAAGACAAGATGTACACCAATACTATTTCAGTTTAACTATGTGCTAGAATAGAAGTCACAGCCAAATTAAACAGAAAGCATAAGGCCTAGAAAGAAAGAAATAAATCTATCATTGTTGAAAGAAAATCAAGACATAACCTATAAACAAAGTATCATCATCAATAAGGGAGTGAAGGTTGCTACATTTAAGGGGGGGACAAAAAGAAAATGTAATTATAAAAATATTTCACAATGGCCAAAAAAACCATAAAATAATAAATTTCCTTCTAATGGAGAACATGATTAAACTTTACTGAAAGTCATTTCAAAAGACTAAATAAATGGAGATTCAATATTATAAAGATAAGAATTCTCAGCAGAGTGATCTAGGTATTCAATACAATTCCCAAAAAAATACCAAGTTCTTGCAGACTTTGCCTATCAGACTCTAATGTTTATATCAAAGAACAAAGAGCAAGAACAGCAAAGTCAACTCCTGAGAAAGAACAAGGAATGAAGTTTGCCCCGCCAGCTAACAGTCACATTATAAAGCTACATAAAGCTACAGCAATTAGGGGCCGGCCCGGTGGCGCGCTGGATAGTACGCCGCTTGGGAAGCGCGGCGGCGCTCCCGCCCGAGGGTTCGGATCCCACATACAGACCGGTTCCCGCTCACTGGCTGAGCGAGGCGCGGGAGCAACACCGAGGGTTGCGATCCCGTTGCTGGTCCCGGTCCGGTACGGGGGCGACACTGAGGGTTGCGATCCATTGCCGGACACGGAAAAAGACAAAAAAAAAGCTACAGTAATTAGGACAGTGTAGTAATGGGACAGACATAGACAACTAGATGAACAAAACAGAAAAGACAGTCCAGACATATACCACCATATACGGAAACTTAATTTATGACAGAGAGAGTACCACAGATTACTAAGTTAAAAAGTCCTTTTAACAAAGACTGGGTAACCCAGTCATTCATAGAGGAAAACATGTCTTAAATCCCTACCTGACACTGCAAACTAAAATAATTTCAGGTAGAATTGAAATGTGAAAACAAAAGAAACATGAAACTTTAAAAACACAATATAGGAAAATATCTTTCTGAACTATGTGTAGGAAATAATTTCTTAAGACACAAAAAACCTAATTATCAAAAAAAACCTTTCATCATATTAAATTTAAGAATGTATGAAAATCATAAGAAAACTTAAGGAAAGCAAAATAAGGCACAAACTGGGAAAAGATGCCTTTAATGTACATAACTGATAAGTAGTATAAATATATATTTTTTAAATCCTATTAATCAATAGGAAAAAGTCAACTCCAAAGAAAAATGAGACAAGACATAAATGGACACTGGAAAGAACAGAAAATCTAAATAGATCATATGTATAAAATAAGACACTCAACCTCATTAGTAATCAGACAGTTTAACTGAAAGTCACAACGAGACATATTTTATACTTACCTGAATAACAAATTTTTAAAGTTTACTGATACCAAATGTTGATGAGCATGTGAAACAATAGGGACTTACACTATCGGTAAGAGTATAAACTGGTAAAATTATTTTGGCAAGCACCTTGGAATTACCTAATGAAACTGAATATGAAAATACCCTATGAACCAGCCTTCATAAACTATATGTACACATGTGTACCAGAAGATATATACAATAATGTGTTAGCAGACGAAAAAACTGGAAATAATTCAAATGGCTATCAACAGAAGAATGGATAAGTAGATTATAATCTATTCCTACAGTGGCAGACTATATGACAGTAAATATGAATGAACTATAGCTACAAACATCAACATGGGTAAATCAATAAAATACAATACACTGTGCAAAAAAGCCCCTCGCAGAGAAATATATATAGGATGATTCTCTTCAGGATGTCCTAAAGAAGACAAAATAACTATGTTTAGGGATATTTACAAAGACTGTATAACAATTAAGAAAAGCAAGAGAATTGTTCACAGAAATTTCAAGATAACAGTCATTCCTAAAAGGAATAGTGGAAAGAAATGGAAAAGGAGTGCATGGAGCTTATATGGTAATTGTGTAATGTCCTATTTCTTAAGCTGTGTACTTGATCATTATTCTCTAAATTATACATATATTTTATACACTGCTTAGAATGTATATATTTCACAATAGAACTTTTTAAAAGAGAAAATGGAAAAACAATTCAGTAACAAGCAATTAAATATATATATATAACATCAAGAAATAATTAGAACAAAATGATTACCATTTTTTTTATATAATAATAATTACATAGTGGCTACCATGTGGCAAAAATTGTTCTAAGTACTTTACATATATTATCTCATTTACTGCTTATAATAATTCAATAAGATAGTAGTAGTATTTGCCTAACATTGTGATGAGGAAGTCAAGGCATAAGAAGCATAAGTGACTCCTCCAAGGGAATACAATCAGGAAGAGATTCAAGGTTTGGCCTATTAAGCGAGAAGTCTACACTGTTTCCTTACCCACTGTATAAGAGTATATATTTCTTCATAGAGATAGAATAGATTTAGGAAATGTGCAGAACTCATTCTAAAAATCTGAAATTTTATGAGACATAAAAGATAAGTGAATAAATGGATGATAAATGGAAATATATGGAATTCTCATCCAGGAACATGGATGAGATTTCTTACTTTAAAGGTTGAGTTTCTCCAAATTTAATATAATTATCGTCAAAATTCTAATGGAATTTTCTGGAGGAGGACCACAGGGGAATATCTCACAAAAAACTAAGTATATGCATGAGAATAACCAAGATAATACTGAAAAAAATATAATGAAGAGGGACTCACACTGCTAAGTATTAAGGATATTACAAAGCTACTATGATAAAAACAATATGGTATAAAGTAAAAAAGACAGAAAGATCAATGGGGCAGAAAACAAAGCCCAGGCGGCCTGGTGGCACACTGCTACAGTGCGCCGCTTGGGAGCGTGGCAGTGCTCCCGCCGAGGGTTCAGATCCCACATACAGACCAGCCGCTCACTGGCTGAACGAGGTGCGGGCGCAACACCGAGGGCTGCGATCCCGTTGCCGGTCCCGGTCCGGTACGGGCGCGACACTGAGGGTTGCGATCCGTTGCCGGTCACGAAAAAAGACAAAAAGGAAAAAAAAAAAAAAGAAAAGAAAACAAAGCCCAGAAACTGACATAAGTACATACAGTAGTCCTCCCTTATCCTTGGGAGATACAAGTCCCTAGTGGATGCCTGAAGCCACACATATTACCAAGCCTGACTGCCAACAATCAGAACACACTTCTGTTCACATCTTCCACCCACAAACTTAATGCCTTTTCTGTCTTAACTAAGCACTTATTATGCACTGGGGCCATAACTTTTGCAGTCTCAGGTGCAACAGCAAAACTAGCATGAATTTCTTTTTTCTTCTTCATAATTTCACAGATAGAAGATTTGTTCTAAACATAGATCTTAGCAACCTCAGCAAATGATTATTCTCATTTCTTATCAAGTCGAGAACTTTTACGTTTTCACTTGAAGGAAACACTTTCAGACTTCTCTTCAGCATATCCAAACTGCCAACATCACTACTCTTGCCCTTTGGGGCCATTATGAAGTAAAACAAGGGTTACTTAAATACAAGCACTGCAATATTGTGACAGCTGATCTGATAGCCTAAAGAGCTCCGAAGTGACTCACTGGGGTAACACAGCGTGAAGACAGTGGACAAAGGGAGGATTCACATCCTGGGCAGGATTTGGGAGACAGAGCAGGGCAGTGCAAGATTTCTTTAAACTATTCAGAATGGCAAGCAATTTAAAACTTATAAATTATTTCTGGAATTTTCCATTTTAATATTTTTGGGCCACAGAAACCTCAGAATGCAAAACCATGGATAAGGGGGACTAATGTGTAAGTATGCTACATGAAAAAGAAAGAATTTAAAATTATCTGGGAAAAATGCATTAGTTAATGAATGGTGTTAAAACAAACAAGCCTACACAAATTAAGTTAGAATGTTTTCAAATTGACTAAAATTTAAGAGTAAAAAATAAAATTGTAAAAATAATGAAAGTAGATACAGGTAAGTATTTATATAATTTGGAGGAAAGAAAAATCTTACAAAACTTGATATCAAAGGCAGAAATAACAAATGATATCAAAGGCAGAAATAACAAACATACATATAATAAAC